ACAGTCGTGGGTCGTGGGTCGTGGGTAGAATGTCGTGGGTCGTGGGTAGAATGTCGTGGGTCGTGGGTAAAAAGTCGTGGGTCGTGGGTAAAAAGTCGTAAGTCGTGGGTAAAAAGTCGTAAGTCGTGGGTAAAAAGGCGTGGGTCGTGGGTAAATAGGCGTGGGTCGTGGGTAAAAAGGCGTGGGTCGTGGGTAAAAAGGCGTGGGTCGTGGGTAAAAAGGCGTGGGTCGTGGGTAAAAAGGCGTGGGTCGTGGGTAAAAAGGCGTGGGTCGTGGGTAAAAAGGCGTGGGTCGTGGGTAAAAAGGCGTGGGTCGTGGGTAAAAAATCGTGGGTCCCGAATAAAAAGTCGTGGGTTCCAAGCAAAATATTTCCATATATTTACCTTTCTCCCTTTGGAATGCGTGTTTTTTTTTTCTTCTGAGGCTTTCCCAAACTATGCCCAAATATGCATAGCTTAGAGCGCGTTAAGGCCGGGTTTTTGATATCGGCAGATCGGTTTATAAATATTATAACCAAGTGTGGATGAAACAGTTCAACTTCAAGCCCCATATAGCTCAAATATTTGGACGTTATAATCTTATAGACAGATAAATATTGTAATTCTTCAATAGGAAATAGTGCTGTCAAGCCTGTCATAAATAGCTAAATTCTGACATTCAGGGCTTCACTAATTTGTTGATCGATGTTCTTACAGTAATAAGCGAGAAATTTCCACTTGGACAGTGTTAATTTAATGCAATGTCTGTTAATTTACTAGGGAAAAATAAAAGAAAGCATTTGAGAGATTTCACTTAATTAAATACATACTTAGTATCTAACCATGATGTTGCAGTAGTGAATCTAGTGTCAAATTTATTATGTGATTTGTATTTTCTAATGTCAAACATATAAGTTACAAATATTCAGTCACATAGTGACACATACAGTATTTGTAACATTCATGCTTTGACTTATCTTTCAGTAGGCTTTTGTCGGATTATTTTACCGTAGGTTTGATAACAGAGAGGTATACTTCTACATATTTCTTGAGCATCAAGTTTCAGCGAAGTCAATAGCAAGTTGGAATTTGGAAATTTCACAGCGCTTATTTAATAACAGCCCGAGTAGCATTGTTTACATGCAAGGTTTGTTCCGTTTGTAGTTTGCGATATTTCAGAAATCGTTTAGGATAGACTTCAGCAGTTTTAAATAACAGCAACATTGGTTGGTCTAGAGATATATTTTCTTGTAATGTTTACGACGATGTCGGTAATATCTACAACAAAATTACCGATATGGATATCGATGCATCACTATTTTGCAGACCGGCGATCTTCGAATTCTTTGTATAGTATATACATGAAGACCATGTATAAGTCAAATGTCATCAGTGCTTCCACTTTGAAAAACCAAAAAATCCTTTTTTTCTCCTTATATTGACCGAAATTTCCTTCAAAAAATTGTGAAATTTCCTTCAAATTTCCTTTATAGAATTTAACCAAATTACGTTGAATACTCTCCAAAATAGCCATTTCTCAACAGAATAATCATCTGGATATTAATTTTATCATTGCTCTAAAGTCTAAACACGATTATGACTTTATTTCCGAGATATTAACTAAAAACTATAAACAAAATGACGTCATCGAGGGGAACAAAATTTAATAATGAGCTACATGTATACCGATTATCATAATTTGCAGCTTAATATACACTCTGTCCAGCCAGGGCGCTGATCAAGCCGGTCGCCAAAAGAATTTTTCCGGAAAAAAATTTTTGGTACTAGTCGGGCAGAATCCCGAAAAGTCGGGCAATTTTCTTTCCGCCCCCCTAATTTTTTCCTTCCGGTACGCCCATGATTAAATGGTTAGCTATACTCCGCAGTTCCATATATAGCTTTGAAAACATATGATGCCATTGCCGGTTATAAAAATTTGACTATAATATCGAGTGGATAGTGCTACTCAGCTTTCGTACATGTGGCCTTGAGCCATATTCTTATTGAAGAATTGCAGTAACTAATTTATCTGTCTATAAGATTATAACGTCCAAATATTTGAGCTATATGGGGCGTGAAGTTGAAC